CTTTCCCTTCCTTCCCCTTCCCTTCCTTTTTTTCTCATCCCTTCCTTTCTTCCCCTCCCTCCTTCCTTCCTCTTCCTTCCTCCCTCCCACCATTTCTCTCCCCTCCCTTCCCCTTCCCTTCTTTTTTCTCATCCCTTCCTTTCCTCCCCTCCCCTCCTCTTCCTTGCCCTCCCTCCCTCCCACCCTTCCCCTCCTTTCCTCCCCTCCCCTTCCCCTCCCTCCCTCCCCTTTCTTCCCTCCCCTCTCCTCCCCTCCCTTTCCTTTCCCCTTCCCTTCCAGCGGTTTTCCAAAGCAAAGGCTAACAGCCCGATTCGTCCCGCTCTCTCCCGCAGCATCGGACGACAGCTGCGCCGAGAGCCGGCCGTGCCTGGCCGCCGCCTCGACCCGGCCGGCAGCGCGGGAGGAAGACGAGGAGAAGCTGAAGAAGAAGCGGCGGGTGCTCTTCTCCAAGGCGCAGACGCTGGCTCTCGAGCGACGCTTCCGGCAGCAGCGCTACCTGTCGGCGCCCGAGCGGGAGCAGCTGGCGCACTTGCTCCGCCTGACGCCCACCCAGGTCAAGATCTGGTTCCAGAACCACCGCTACAAGATGAAGCGCGCCAAGGGAGGCGAGCGGGGCGGCGCGGGGGGCGGCCCGCCTCTCCTGCGGCGGGTGGTGGTGCCGGTGCTGGTGCGGGACGGCAAGGCCTGTCAAAGCTGCAGCGGCGCCACCCCTACGCGGAGCCCCGGCGGGCCCCAAGGAGCCTTCAACCTGCCCGGCTACTCGGCGTTTCCGCAAAGCCTTTTCCCCGCCTATCAGCACTTAGCGCCGCCTGCCTTAGTATCCTGGAACTGGGGCTGAGGGGGAAAAAAAACATGGCGGCTGGTCGGTTGGCGGGCTATCTGCCTCCCTGGACAACTGGAGCGGCTCGCTTCTTGAGGAAGATACACCCTGGCCTTCGCCTAGCTAGCCCGACGGGGCCTCTTGCTTGGCGCTCTCGGGACTTGGACTCGAATAGAACTAGTTTAGAGTAAACGTTTGACGGATTGCTGGTCTTTCAAAACAATATATAAACAGGGGTCCTCAAACTTGGCAACTTTAAGACTTGTGGACTTCAACTCCCAGAATTCT